ATGGTGGATAGCCTTGTGCACTGCGAAGGCGAGCAATCTGACCTCTCATCTTCAGATGATTCTTCGCCGGAGGGAAGACTTCGCCGCTGTCTTATCGGCAAGGGGCTCTACCAGGAGGTGAAACAACTCTTGGATGACAGGGCGGACGCAAACTGCCGGCGGGGTCAGAATCATGAGTTGGCATGTGTGGATGATAAAAGACATGTGGCTGCCTCACTTTCCTGACTTCCCATTCCCAACGTGCGAATTTATGTGGCACCCTGTGTTTCAGGTTGCGGTACAAGCTCGGCCCCAAGGAGTTTGATGGGACGCCCCTGACATTGGCTGTCAAACTCGACAAGCCCAACATCGTACGCTTGCTCATTTTGCACCGGGCCAGCCCAGAATCCATGTACTCGATGAAAGCAGGCCGTACAGGTGTTCACTGGAAGGGGCCAGCAGTTTGTGCAACGGTTGCCAAAGGCAATCTTTCGATGATGAGGCCAGGCTTTTCCAAAAGAACGGAAACGGGTGGACACAATCTGAGAACGCAGTCTGTGAAATATGGGAACATGCAGTGGGTCAGCATCTTGCCAGCGCAGGTTGTTGGTGGAATACGAAGCAAATTTGCAGGGTCGATTGATCAGCTTCAATGACGAGCCAAATGTCACCTTGCTGTACGATGCCAGCTATTTTGGTCATGCGCATTTAGTGCGATATTTGCTTCAGCAGAAGGGCAATCCAGACACCCCTGTGAAGCTCCTCGGATTCTCAAATTAGTTACCAGCAGTTTGTGGAGCTTGTTTTCGATCGTTTTTTCTTATTGAGCTCAGATTTGCAACCGCCCAAGGTTTCAAGATGACATGAGCATCACCAAAACTGCGCTTCAGGTTTCAGCCAGCCTGGGACACGATGATGCTGTTCTTAGCTTTGTCAGCGTGAGGGACTGTTTTGCTGCTTGCGATTGGGTGTGGGGTCCAGCATCCTCCACTAAACAGTCGTTCAACCTGCTGTCTGAGAAGTTTTTTAAGTTTTTGAGTGGATTGTTGTTTGCATGCGTTGTCGCTTTGAAGGGCTTTGTTTCAGTTGCTGATAACTGCGGTTGCGCCAGTGAAGTCATTATCAATTTCATTACGCTGTGTCTGAGGAAGTCGTTCGGGTGCTTCTCGGTGCCAAAGCGCAAATTTCTCATGGAACGGACTTCGGCCCGCAAGAACTAAAAGATGCCATCGATGGATGCCATGTGGAGGTGGACATGTTGCAAACGGTCAATCCATGTTGAAAGTGGCACGTTTGCAGAGCAATTCAGAATGGGTAACCTGCGTGCGGAGGCTTGCAGGACTTTGTTGCAGCTGTGAACATAACTGCAGGTTGTGCGTCTATTGGTCGAAGGTGGTGCTGATTTGTTCACCGGCGAAGAGGGCAGGACTTGTATTGTTGACCTTCTCATGTGATGCGTTTATGTGATGCCTGAACTGCAGGGTGTGAGAGCTGCCGGGAGGAGAGGGGTGGACTATTTGTTCGAAGCCAACAATGCAGTGCTCACCGCTGCAGCAGCTAAGGGCTTGCGAGGCTGCGAGGAGGATGTCGTCGAGTGCATTGGGTTGAGAGATTTTGTGCGGTTCCTAGCCACTCCGGATGCCGAAGAAATTCTCAGTGCAGTGTTTCGGAAGTGCCAGCTTCGCTACTGGAAGAATGAGAAGCGTGTGGCATGGAAAACAGCATATCTGCCGCATGGAGATCTCAACGTTGCCGTGGGGCCACCCAAGAGCCATTTCGACGACAAGTTTCACAAGGAGATGGAATTGGCAGCAGGTGTCCGATCAACCATTACAGACAAGGACAAAACAGGAACAGTTGTTTTTCGTTAGCCGCTGATCGAACTTTCAACTGTGATGAGGCAGAATCGTTGTGCACGTGTCGTGCAGGAAGACGAGCGGCTGGAGGAAGAGTTTTTTTCACAACTTTTGCCACATCGTTTTCAGAGGTTGGAGCACATCACACAAGTGCCGATAGAGATCAGTCACTGTGTTCTCCCTGGCTTACATCGCAACCCTGAGGCTGCGATTTGCACAAACATGGCATGCTGGGCAGTGAATTGCATGGGGAGTTGCTATGCCGAAGTTTGTTACACATGGGGAGGGGGGGGGGGTCTTCAGCACTTCCTGGGATTTAACAAACGGCACTTTGTCATGTTTGTTTCGTAGCGTGGTCGTGCAAGCCCGGAATGTCCCGGCATTGCAGAGAGGTCCCAGGGGCGGAGGTACTGTGTTGCCGCAAGCTTGAGGTAAGCGTATTTGGCAACTTGTTAGCTCGCGAATTCCACCCTGCGAATAATTTCATTTTCGCGTGTATCGCTTAGCGAATTATGCCCGAGGTTGCTTGGCACACATTTGTGCATGTCACTTGGTTCCCGTCCATGCGGCGGCTTTCCGGCTTGAGATTTTTTTAGGGGTCTACATCGCAACGCGACAGCTGGGACACAGCTTTCGGCCTCGATTTTCATCATACACCAAATTCGGGACTGTCTGCAGTCCTACGACCAGGCAGTACCTTTGCGGCATACCTTACCTGCGAAGAACTGCAAGCAGAACAAGATGAACCTTGGGTGGAAACCTAGCATCTCCATCCTTCCTGTCGTACTTCCTCATCAATGGGTGTTGGAGGAAGTGCCCCACGATACACTTCTTCTCCAATCGCATGAACTTCCTGCCCCTGCGGCAGTCCTCCCAATTCATCTCTTGACCTGGGATGAGTACCTGCACGACATATCCTTCACAGCAACAGGAGGATGCTGATGGTCGCAGGCAGAGCAGCGAAAGAGAACTGCCATCCAGTTTCGCCTGCTTGTTCGGAAAGGGAGCCAAACAGGATTTACTGGTATGAAGTACGTCACTTTCTGCGGCGCCAACAGGGAACTTTGGGTTTTACCCACAACTTCTTGTATCCAGTTGTGTTGAAGAACCTTGAACAGGTTTATGCACACACGGACTGTATTTGGTCCGGCAAGATGACTTGCAGCACATCTTGTTTTGTACTCAGCCTACCCGCCCTCATGCAGCAACGTGGTGACGGTGATCACGCGCGCCTGGAGCGAGATCTCGGGACTGACCTGCGTCTGCCGTGCTCCCCTGTTGCTTCTGGAACACTGTGGCCTGGAACGAGAACTGTCCGCGCGACGGCCCATGGAGCACTGCTTCTACAAACTCAACAGCGGAAGTGCGACAGATTACGTCCAACACGCAACGCAGCAATGCTGAAGCACGGCGACAATGCAACCTTGTATGCCCTCTCAAGCTCGGTGTTATAACCTCGAAGGTACCTTGCAAAAACACATGTACTTCCAGGTATTCGCTGAAAGGCCGTCTCGTCGCAAGTGTTCATATATACGCATGTGCTGCCTGTGTACCAAAAACTCGCTGAATCGTGCGGAACCAAGTGGTATGGCTCACGGGTGGGGGCCGCTAGAAAGTGGTTGCGGCATATGGTTGTGTCCGCCAAAGGCATAGGCATCTCACCACGCATGAGCCAAACCCAATCCGAGAACTGCTCCGGCCGGTAGAGCGGCATCCCAATGATCCATGGATCGACTTGCATCCCTGGTCTGAACTTCATGACACGAGTCCGCGCATGTGAAGGTGAAGGGGTCCCAAATTCGATGGTTAGCTTGAGCCGCATCACTGAATGGCCTGGATGTGAATGTCTCGGGCTGGAAATACGTCTCGGTAGTTTTTGCGGATGAATGTGGTCTGCTAAGAGGATTGACGACAGTTGTGCTCAAGGAGCCCGCCATGTGTGAGTGGTGGTGATCTTCTGCAACGAGTCGTTCCAGCAATTGTACTTATGCTGGCGATGTTGAGCTGCATGCACGTCTAAAGCGCCGCGGGTTGGCACGACATCGATGGAGGGCCAAGATAGAACCAATCCTCGATCACCGTGAGCTTTTCGAAGCACCATGTTGCTGACCGCCTGCTGCGTCATTATGCCCGGCATAGTGTTGTACCTCGTCGTATGGTGGCGAGCTCGTCGCGAAATCCATCGTTCCAGATCGCCATCTCACCGACACACCCCCTCGACTTCCGGTACAGGTTAGGGATGATGCACCTATGACTGCCTCGGCGTCTCAGCCCAAGTTCCAACCGTCATCGGCGCGCAATGCCTCTGTTCTCCGACATCTTCACGAGCCAGATCGGGATCTTTCGCGCCGCTGGGGGCAACAGACGCTCTATAACAATAGCATCTGGGGTGAAGACGTTCCCGATGTTTCGTGCGCGTCGAGTCAAGACGAAATGTCATCCCACCGAGGACATGTGCCCCATATGCTATACGCAACGTCATCGTGGCAACGAAAGCCATGTTTGAAGATCACATCGCGCAAATCACATCGCAAACGAATCCAGTGTTCCAACCTTGATACAAATGTTTGCAGATGGTTTGTGCCCTTTTTTGAAGAGGGTGTGTGCATGGGACTGTGTTGCATGATGTTGGTTGCCAGCATAGTTGAGCACTGAGCATGTGGTTCACGCTCGGCATCTCCGAACAGTTGCAGAAGAGATGGAGCAGTCGCAGTGCTTGCGCAGCGTGCGAGGGTGCATACGTGACAGTTCTGTGTATCACGCGTTCGGCATTTGCAGCAGTTCCCTGTGCAGCAGTTCCTTGTGCAACATGATCAGGGCGTACTTCTTTTCCTGCTCTGCGTGATTCTAATTGTGAGAGAGAACAGTTCCATGGGACATTTGTTCACATTTGTAGCAGTCCCCTGCGCAGCATGATCGACGTGTACATCAGTCATCAGTCTTCGTCAAGCAGGGTTGGGGTGGCATGAGTGATGCGCATGCACCGCAATATGTGTTAAACTGTTAAACCTTACAAAACTTCTTACACGCACACACACATAAAATTTCCATCACTCTCCTCTACCTCTTCTCCATGCGCTTCTTCCGCTACCTCTGCATTTCTTCCACTACCTCTACACTTCTTCTTCTTGTTCGTCTATCCTTTCGGAAAGAGCTTCGGATGATAACGCTCAGCCACACATGAAACAATTGTGTTGTGTGTTTGCGTGTGTGTGTGTGTGTGTGTGTGTGTGTGTGTGTGTGTGTGTGTGTGTGTGTGTGTGTGTGTGTGTGTGTGTGTGTGTGTGTGTGTGTGTTGTTGTGTGTGTGTTGTTGTGTGTGTGTGTGTGTGTGTGTGTGTGTGTGTGTGTGTGTGTGTGTGTGTGTGTGTGTGTGTGTGTGTGTGTGTGTGTGTGTGTGTGTGTGTGTGTGTGTGTGTGTGTGTGTGTGTGTGTGTGTGTGTGTGTGTGTGTGTGTGGGTGCGTGTTCGCGTGTGCGCGTGCGCGTGCGTGTGGCGTGTGCGCGTGCGCGTGCGCGTGCGCGTGCGCGTGCGCGTGCGCGCGTGTGTGCGTGCGCGTGCGCGTGCGTGCGCGTGCGCTTGCGCTGCCGCGTGCGCGCGCGGGCGCGTGCGCGTGGCGCGTGCGCGCGTGCGCGTGCGCGTGCGCTGCGCGTGCGCGTGCGCGTGCGCGTTCGCGCCTGGCGCGGTGCGCGTGCGCGTGCGCGTGCGCGTGCGCTTGCGCTTGCGCGTGCCGCGTTGCCGTGCGCGTGCGCGTGCGCGTGGCGCGTGCGCGTGCGCGTGCGCGTGCGCGTGCGCGTGCGCGCGTGCGCGTGGCGTGCGTGCGTGCGCGTCCGCGCGCGTGCGTGCGTGTGCGCGGGCGTGGCGCGCCAATGCGCGTGCGCGTGCGCGTGCGCGTGCGCGTGCGCGTGCGCGTGCGCGTGCGCGTGCGTGTGCGTGTGCGTGTGCGTGCGTGCCACACCTGGACACGGTGATTAATTGTCGAGTCACGCAGGGGGCACCTGGGGTGCCAACGAACACCTATCCATTGGCTGCGATATGGAATCCGCTCCTATCAGAGTTGTTTGCGTGAGACCATGTCAAGACAAATGTGTTTTGGTGTTGGAGTGCCCGTCACGGGGCCAGATCCGAGCACCCGTCCAGCTGAACCCACACTGTGGGAAGATACAGACTCTGCCGGCTATGAGATTTCATTCATAGTCATCATCGCGCCTTTTGTGTGGCGTGCATCATCGGGATCATTGACTCTTGCACGACGCAGGGTTGGCGTGCCTGGCGGCTGTTAGGTGCACTCTCCTCTGTAATGGTAGTAACTAGTGTTTTGTTGTCGGACCTTCTTTGCGCTCTTGTTCTGCACGGTTGGGCCAAGGGTATTGCGCTGATGAGTTTTCCAGGCGACACGGATCAGGTTTTTCTTGTGACTGCATGTGCATCAGGTGCCGCCCGAGCTGCGTTAGTAAAGCTGTTTCGTCTGTCCCGTGAGTTTGCTGTGCGATGGAAGAAACAGTCTCTCCCTAAACAACTTTACGTCTTTCGGGCCATTGTGTGTGTGTGGCAACACCTCCACATGGTGATTTACTGTCGAGTCATGCAGGGGGCACCTCGGCCATGGATAGGTCGGGTTCCAATGAAGACATCTATCCACTGGCTGTGATATGTCATCCGGACGCAGATTCCACGAACCTGCAAGTGTTCAAAACACGGGACCTTTCACGTTTGCACAACCTGTGTTCGAAAGTATGGCACTTTGATGATTTCGCAGTCATGTCCCGTCAGAGCTTTTTGCGGTTGGACAATGTCAAGACAAATGTCTGTGTGTGTGCAAACAGGGGCGTCCATCCGAGTGTGATTGACAGTCCGAGTGTGGGACAAGGAAGACTGCGTGTTCACCTGTTTGAGAAGCAGCGCCATTTTTATCGAAGATACTTTGCTGATACATTGCAGGTGCTGTGGGTTCTGGCTTCAGGAGTCAACGATCGAGTCTTCGATGAGAAGGGCGCTCATGCCATCATCAACTTGGCATGGCGAGAAGCATATCGAGCCCACTTCCTGACCTTCGCGCTAGATGCTTGTCTGCCCATGTCAAGGTCCGGCATTTGTGCCTTGGATGTCATCGTAGGATACAGCAGATGCAAAAGCAGAGTGGAATAAGGATTTGCTCGTGGCGTGCCTCTTTTGGTCCTTGGCGTTTCTGCTGAATGATAAGCGGCTGGAAGATCACCAGTGGCTGCGGTGGCCATGCCTTGCCATCGCAGCTCTGCGACTCGTCATGTGTCCTGCTGCCGTGTCGCCGTCTCTTGTTTCGAACGCTTCTCGGTTCCACCGCCTAAGCTCCATTAAGGGCTTGGCTGCGAAATGCCTTCTCCGAGATCTTGCAATGTCTTGGCTTCCATGTCTACGGAAAGCTGCGTGACTACTTTCTTTCATTGGAAACGCTCGCCGACGCCTTCAGGCTGCCAAAAGAAGTATGAAGACCTGCCGGTCTGTGTCTGTGTGTGTGTGTGTGTGCATGTGTGTTTCGAGCACGTGATGGTGTTGCTCGACAGGATACTTCTCACGGGTTTCAGCTTGACTGCCTTGGCGATTCTTTGCTTTGCAATTAATTCTGTAGCCTGGGTTGATGCACGTTGCAGCTGACTTTGGCAAAAGCCGTGTTTGCTATCGGGCCGTGGCTTGCGCGGGGTGCCTGCGTTGTGGCTGCGATGACCAAGGACTGACTGGAAAGCTTGTGGAGAACGGCAGGAACTTCGACTAACATTTGCTTTAACTGGCTTCGTCCGCTGGCTGAGGTAGGGTCTTCCCATGCCATGTGCAGACTATAGGTGTTGTGCTCCATGGAAAGTGCAGCCACCCGCAGGGTCTTGAACACCCTCAAGGGCTTCGAGAGCACGGGGAAACCGATGCTCCCAATTTTGCAAGCTGTTCCAGCGACTGTTCCCTTCTTCTTCGTGGTGTTCTGTTGGTTTGCAGGCTTTTTGCCTGCAACGGTCCAACAGTGAACAACCAAGCCGTGGACAACTATTTTCCCAGCTGCGCAATTTGTAGCCACGGCACATGTCTGTGGGACAATGCGAGTTATATTTTTGGACAGCTTGCTTTGTGATGGCGCACAAAGGCTTCCTTCACATGTACTATTCGTTCGGCTTGATGAGCTGGTGGCAATCAATGATGATCATGTACCGCTTAGGCCTTCGATGGGGCTTTAATTGTGGAAGTGCATTAAATGACGAACGTTTTTCCGAACTGTCTCCTTGAAGGATTTCTGGCAGACTTCTCCAGGAATGAAATGAGGAACGCCACGCTTCTGTCGGATGGGGATGACGACTGGGAAACGCCGGCAGGAATCTCAATGCGCGCGTGTTCGTTACTTTTTTGAATCATGACTTCGGTCGGCTGCTTGCCACGGCCTTCAGGTGGACGTGGTTTTAGTCGTCATGGGTCTAAGCATGTCGATCATTATGATGAACATCCTCATTGGTGTGCTGGCCGAGAGTTACAATCGAGGTGCGAAGCCACGTTTGTTTTCTCCCTGTACAAAGCATTCTGTCGTGCTTGCCTTGTTGCATCCGGCTTCTTTGTCAGGGTGGGAACATCGCGAGCGGCTTTTCCTTTTGGAGCGAACACGTCTAGTATTGCACCACTTCACAATATACAGTGGTTGGAAGCATTGCCCATGCGCTTGCGTGAAGCGACGAATCCAGAGTGAAGGCGCCTCACATCACCATGTATCTTGCTGGCAAGGTGTGACAGCATTTCTGGACACATCAAAAGATATCTAAAGCAAGTTCTGCTAGTGAGAGTCGAAGGCTTCCGGCTGAGGAGGTTAAGGTTGTTGGAATTGGTGACCCTTGCAATCAAGGTGTGGTTTGCCAATCCACGGGATCCCTCAACCTGGGGCGAGATCCAATCCCAGTACGATGCAGATGTCATGAACGTGCATGAGAAGGTGACGGAGTTGCGTCGCGAGATCCGCGAGATGCACGAGAAGATGTTGGAAAAGCATCAGGCGAGATGCCTAGCGGTTCCGAACACGGTTGTCTGCGCAGCAGCAAGAACGGTCTGTTGAGGGCGTCATGGCAGGATTCCTCCGAAGACCTTCGTTCTGGGCCTGCTTCTGCTGCGTGTCTGAGTCTTTATGCTCGGGCAGGATATTCAATGGTACTTCACCAGGAAGTGAGAGCCAGAGAGAGAGCGAGAGAGTTGTTTTACGGAGGGCGTAGGGGCGGAATCAGTTTCACAAACAGACTCGGTACCCGCTTGTCTTCGGGAGACCACCCCTCGAACGGGTCGCGGGCGCAGGAAGAAAGGAAGGAAGGAAGGAAGGGAAGGAAGGGAAGGAAGGGAAGCAAGGGAAGCAAGGGAAGCAAGGGAAGGAAGGGAAGGAAGGGAAGGAAGGGAAGCAAGGGAAGCAAGGGAAGGAAGGGAAGGAAGGGAAGGAAGGGGAGGAAGGAAGGAAGGGAAGGAAGGGGAGGAAGGGAGGGAGGGAGGAAGGGAGGAAGGGAGGGAGTCCCTCTCAGGCCTACGCTCGCAGAGAGACAGAGAGAGATAGAGAGATCTCCCGGGGCCCCTTTAGGCGTGGAGAAGAAGGAGCAGAAAAAGAAGAAGAAAGAGAGATAGAGAAATAGCGAGATAGAGAGATAGAGAGATAGAGAGATAGAGAGATAGAGAGATAGAGAGATAGAGAGATAGAGAGATAGAGAGATAGAGAGATAGAGAGATAGAGAGATAGAGAGATAGAGAGATAGAGAGATAGCGAGATAGAGAGATAGAGAGATAGAGAGATAGAGAGATAGAGAGATAGAGAGAGATAGAGAGATAGAGAGATAGAGAGATAGAGAGATAGAGAGATAGAGAGATAGAGAGATAGAGAGATAGAGAGATAGAGAGATAGAGAGATAGAGAGATAGAGAGATAGAGAGATAGAGAGATAGAGATAGAGAGATAGAGAGATAGAGAGATAGAGAGATAGAGAGATAGAGAGATAGAGAGATAGAGAGATAGAGAGATAGAGAGATAGAGAGATAGAGAGATAGAGAGATAGAGAGATAGAGAGATAGAGAGACTCTCAGAAGACGCTCCACACTGTTGGGGTGCGCGAATCGCGCGAGGGCCCGTGCCCTCATACCCACAGGAAAGAAAGAAAGAAAACGATAGCCCCCCCCTTGAGTCCCCGCACCGCCACCTCGTTCAAGCGAATTCACAGAAAAAACCACACCCTAACACCCGCCTAATGAATATGTAATTTGGGGGAGGGTTGCATGGTCTCAGCTTGAATTGATGGGGTTTGGTCTACTTTTCTTCTTTCGGGAGAACCCTAAACTTTGACCCGAAACTGTGGCACCTTGAGGTGAACAGATAAGAGGCCAGAGAACTCACTGTGAATATTTCAGTGTAGAGTTCTATGGGTTTTCGCAGGCGTCGGCTTTTGCAGTCAGCACCTTGCACCTTGGAGTTTGCAGCAGCGCCTTGTAGAGAAGCAGCTGGGGAGGAATCGAAAAGCCATCCCGAAGAAGACCTCCTGTGGATTATGGTTCCAAAAAAAGAGGGGAGGACAACTGCTAGAGGGCCCCCCGCCGGGAGGAGGTGAATGGGGGAGCCAAAACCCAACACCATAGAGAAAAGACACAGCTCAGCAGCAAAGACACCGCCCCACGAGAAGCAGCGAGAAGCAGCAGAAGCAGGAGGGAGGGAAACAAGCTATGGCAACTGGGCAAGGCCCACAGCAAAGAGCTGCGAAGGCGCGAAAAACACAAGGAGTGCGACGGGCTCAGCAGCGAGGACGAAGCCCTGGAAGACACCGCCCCGCGAGAGTAAAACAGAAGACGGACGGAAGCAGGCCGAGAAAGCCATGGGGGATGGAGGATCCAGAGCCAAGAACCATCATAGCCACGGGCAGGCGAGAACAGCCGAAGAAAGGTAGTGAGTCCAGGTGAAACAGCTATAAGCCAGGCAAGCCCAAAAACCTTAGCCGTGTGTAGTTGCTGGTTTGTGCTGTGCTTGGATAAGATGATGACACTCTTCTTTACGAAGCAAGTTCGGACGAGCTAGATCAAAAAAATCAACAGACCAATAAATCAAAAAAAACAATAAATCAATAAACCATTAAATCAATAAATCAATAACTCAATAAATCAAGAAATCAATAAAGCAAGAAATCAATTCATCAATAAATCAAGAAATCAATAAATCAATAAATCAATAAATCAATAAATCAATAAATCAACAAATCAACAAATCAACAAATCAATAAATCAATAAATCAATAAATCAAGAAATCAAGAAATCAAGAAATCAAGAAATCAAGAAATCAAGAAATCAAGAAATCAAGAAATCAAGAAATCAAGAAATCAAGAAATCAATAAATCAATAAACCAATAAACCAATAAACCAATAAACCAATAAACTAATTAACCAATTAACCAATAAATCAGTAAGTCAATAAGGCAATAAGTCAATAAGTCAATAAGTCAATAAGTCAATAAGTCAATAAGTCAATAAGCCAATAAGTCAATAAGTCAATAAGTCAATAAGTCAATAAGTCAATAAGTCAATAAGTCAATATGTCAATAAATCAATAAATCAATAAATCAATAAGTCAATAAGTCAATAAGTCAATAAGTCAATAAGTCAATAAGTCAATAAGTCAATAAGTCAATAAGTCAATAAGTCAATAAGTCAATAAGTCAATAAGTCAATAAGTCAATAAGTCAATAAGTCAATAAGTCAATAAGTCAATAAGTCAATAAGTCAATAAGTCAATATGTCAATAAGTCAATAAGTCAATAGGTCAATAAGTCAATAAGTCAATAAATCAGCACATCAATACATCAATACATCAATACATCAATACATCAATACATCATTACATCAATACATCAATAATTCAATAAATCAGTAAATCAATAAACCAATAAATCAATAAATCAATAAATCAATAAATCAATAAATCAATAAATCAATAAATCAATAAATCAATAAATCAATAAATCAATAAATCAATAATCAATAAATCATAAATCAATAAATCAATAAATCAATAATTCAAATAAATCAATAATCAATACATCATAAATCAATAAATCATAAATCATAATCAATAAAGCAATAACTCAAAAGCAATAATCCTACAATCACTAATCAATAATCATAAACCTAAACGATAAATCAAATAAATCAATAATCAATAAATCAATAAATCAATAATCAATAAATCAATAAATCAATAAATCAATAAATTCAATAAAGCATAAATCAATGAATCATAGAATCAATAAGTCCAAATAAATCAATAAATCACTAATCAATAAAATCACGTAAATCGTAAATCATTAAATCAAATAAATCAATAAAAATCAATAATCAACCATCAATAATCAAATCATAAAATCAATAACTCAATAAATCAATAACTCAATACATCATAAATCAATAATCAAATAAATCAATAATCCATAAGTCCAAATAAATCAATAAAGTCATAAGTCAATAAACCAATACATCAATAAATCAGTAATCCATAAATCACTAAAATCAGTAAAATCAGTACACAAGTAAATCAATAAATCAGTACTCATAAATCATAATCACTAAATCAATTAATCATAAATCAATACATCCAATACACATAAATCAATAAACCAATAAACCAATAAACCAATAATCAATAAACCATAAACCAATAGACCAGTAAATCAATAAATCAATAAATCAATAACTCAATAACTCAAGAATTCAATAAATCAATGCATCAATAAATCAATAAATCAATGAATCAATAAATCAATAAATCAATAATTCAATAATTCAATAAATCACGAAATCAAGAAATCAAGAAATCAAGAAATCAAGAAATCAAGAAATCAAGAAATCAAGAAATCAATAATTCAATAAATCAATAAATCAATAAATCAATAAATCAATAAATCAATAAATCAATAAATCAATAAAGCACTAAATCAATAAATCAATACATCAATAAGTCAATAAATCAATAAATCAATAAATCCAAATCAATAAATCCATAAATCAATAAATCAGTAAATCAAGAAATCAATAAATCAATAAATCAATAATTCATCCTACATTGCATTTCTTTTTTTGTTGCTGTTGCTGTTGCTGTTGCTGTTGCTGTTGCTGTTGCTGTTGCTGTTGCTGTTGCTGTTGCTGTTGCTGCTGCTGCTGCTGCTGCTGCTGCTGCTGCTGCAGATCTCATTATGCACCCTACAGCATCACACCAGCAAGCTAGATGAAGCATGGGTACATGCGCTGCAAGCAAGCAAACAGAGAGTTCAAGGAACAGTGTTCAGTCGCCAAGGATTTGGGCATTTCACGGCGATTGGGCAATTTGGAGTCATGCGTGGAAGGCATGCGCGTGCCTTGACGGAGTTGTTGGGGCTGCCGGTGTGCTGCGATTTGCTGAGTGCGTTGCTGCTGGCTACATTCAGGAAAGGATGGATCTAGTCCTCTCCAGACTTGATTCGAGAGCAAGCTGATGGCCAGTGGAGCGCAACACGTGCCAGGCGCTTTTCTTGGCTTCAGCACTGCGCGTTGTTAATGTCTGTGCGGCTGCAATATTTCCAAGACTAGCATTGCAGCTGCACGTCTCATGCCATTTTTCATAGATGCCAAAGAACCATACGATCGCTGAATTTGTTCACCCATGCACTCACTACGTGATTTCACCTCGAGGGGCGGGGCTCAAAGCCCAAAGCACCAGTTTCACGTTTGTGTTTTTGTTAGTTGTGTTTCTATGACATTTATTTCCGGAAGAATTAGATTCTTGTTTCTTCATGGGAAGTCGTGCTTGTCTAGAAGTTGGCCCATCCAGCTGCAATCGCCCAATGTCCAGAACATTCTGGACTGGGCCTGCTATTGAATGGTCAGCCTCAAGATGATTGTGGTAAAAAAGTGAAGATGATCTGCCAGCATGTGCCCTGTCTCGAGCCATTGCGTGCTTTTGCAGGTTCCTTCACTATTCCTTCCGTTCTTGCGTTTGCCATCCCAAGCCGGGGCAGAGATGGGAGAGACAAAGCGTGGAAAGTAAACAACTCACAGTGCGATACAATGTGACAGAGTTTTAATATTTTCAAGGACGCCATGGAATTTGTGACAGGCCATGACCCGACGTACCCGACTCGGCTGAAGTACATGCCAGCTTGCCAACTGTTTGCCATGCCAAAAGTCTTGACACCCGTCATGGTCTCGCTGTATCCGTCTTAGGCTAAAGCAACACGTGGCCGAAGTCGCAGCAAATCGACGGGAGCCTAAAAACTTCCTTTGTTCTGGGTTCCTTCGTAAGCTTTGGATGCTTTGGATTGCGCACAACCTTCGACGTCTCCAAAGGCGCCCACAGCCTGGACGTGTCCTCATTTGGGGTGCAGGGTCCCTGGATGTGCCTGGTAGGAACTTCGCGTGCGAGATGTTCCTGAGCCGTTCCATGCTGTTTTCCCTGTTGTCTATTCAATCTAATTATTCTACAAACAAGGCCACACAGCCCACGATGGGAGATGTTTGCGCACTCGGCAAACCTGTCCGTGTCCACCAGGCCAGGGGATACTGGCAGAGCTCGCGAGTGCTTCGTGCGCACTAGCCTCGCGAGCCCCCTTCAGACAGAAAGAGAATGAAAGCCATGATTGCGCTTGCAAAGCCTCACGGGGCTCGTGTTCGAAAGATTGCAGGGCGGGTCCTCGGCCTTTGGGTGCTCGATGGCTCTTGCGAACCGACCATGCATTTGCAGGGTCTTTGAGTCGCTCTTATACGTAGTTTGTAGTGCCCAGTGCCCTCTAGAGTGAATGTGCCACTTGGAAAGCCTAAGACATCACTCCCCAGGCCTACCGGTGAACCCAGCTGTCATGAACACAGCCCAGCATGGAAGGGCTACCTCTGCGACGCCGTCCTTGGCAGCGGCTCAGTCCAGGCATCTGTTCAACGCTTTGTGACATTTGGTGACTAGTTGTAGGCCCTGGCAGCTGTTGTCTGTTGTAGTCGCGTGGCGGTCCTGTGGCGAAACTGATGACCAAGGCCCAGGATGATTTGAAGTGTGCGTTTGTATTGACAACCGCGGCTCAACTCCTTCATGTCTTGAGGGATTCTTCATGCACGCGCCTCTGATATGTTGTGGCAGTTGTGGCGTGCTTTTGCCATCTTGGCGCTTGGGCTTGCATGTGTGGAGCGCTTCCCCCCCCCACGCAGCTTTGGATGCCTGTAGCTTATTTGATGCAGGTGTGGCATGGTTTTGCGTTGACAACGTAAGATGCAAAAAGCTGAAGCTCACGAGCCCGATGTGGGTCAGGGCTACTTACATGTTTGCTGTACTTGTGCGAGAGTTTCCGTGCTTCAAGCGTTCATTCTTCTTGAGCGAATTGGGGAAGTTGTCTGACTGCTAAGTCCAGTATATGCAGTGGGCGATATACTCTTTGCGGGCTTCTGGTCGCTGCTGACAGCTTGGGCTGGGCCATCTGCTCCGGCCTCCCGTCGCGCTCGCTACCCGCCCATTCCAAAGAATATTTACGTATCCCAGTATCCCAGTAAATCACGCTTCCAATCAACCTTCATTTAAGGACTCGCACGCAAACAAGCAAAACCATGAGTACGTGCAAAGCAGGCCCCTTCCTGATACAGACACAAGCTTCGAGCCTCGGTTTTTGGCTCTGTGCTTGGGACAGACCTGATCAATGGAAATATGCCTGCTGCATGTTTTTCCTTCGGGCATTGAATGTTCCCAGCATCTGCGTAACTCGATAGATTCGTTTGTTTATTTGTGAGTCCCGACGGCAAAACATGAGCCGCTTGACATGTAGAAGCATCTGTCATTTGTTCGCATCGGTTCGCACTCTCTCTCTCTATACATTAGTATGAGGGGTTTTCCTTGTGAACTGTAGAGAAAATTGAGGGGTACCTATGATAATGTAAAGACCTCCAGTCCTTTCCGCAAATTTGGAGAAAGGATACGTTGTCCGATTAGAACATAGAAAAATACCGGTGTTCCTATGAAACTATTGAGAACGTGGAGTTCTTTCAATGAAGGTATAGAGAAAATCAGAAGTTTCCAATGCCAATATGGAGAGAATACAGGTTCTCTCATTAAAACATGGAGTAAATTATAGCGACAAACAGAGAACATAGAGGTTTTTCCTCGTGAAATATTGGGATACTAGATGTTATCCTTGTAAAGCACGCCCTGAACCAACATACAAAAGGAAGAAACACAACAATGGCCAAGACAATTCCGGACCTTTTATCGGGGCCATCATGTAGTTTTGGTGAGGCATCTGAGTTTACTTGAAACGGGCCTGTGCTTCGGGTGGCAGTTGCTGGTAGCTCTTTTCTGACCATAAGTTTGCGGAGGGGATGTCCTGACCATACGTTTGCGGCGTAGGGGATGCCTTTGAGACACAGACACCCTATCGGGCTGATTTTGTGCCATCAGGCTTGCCCTGGAGGCACTGCGTAAGGTCCGCACTGTCGCCAGGGCGCAGGTTGTCCGTGCAGTTGACTGTTTATTTGCCCTGTGTTTCGAAATGGCGCAGCGGGGCCTTATATGCCGTTATTGGCCCTGAATGGGAAAAATCACTGTTAGGAATTTAATTGATTTGTTCCTGCTGTCATAGTGCTGCAATGTGTAGACAGGGTCTTGCGGGCCACTTTGCGGCTTGCTTTGATTGTGCATTCCAAAACGTGCAGAACTGGCAGGCCCGCATCTGCAAGCAAAGAGGCGTCTGAGTGCCTTCCTCAGACACGGAAGAGCTGACGTCTCGGGACAGTAGTTGTTTCGTTTCTTGTTCCAGTGCTCTCGTCTGTTGTTTGGCTTTCCTTTGCTTGCTGGCCCTTCCGCCTTTCTGCTTGTGCTGTCTCATACCTACTTTATCGCAGCGGTCTTGCCCCAGCATGTCTGCGTGTCTGCTTCTCCACTTTGCGAGTTGTTGCTATCAAGGCTTCTAAGGTAGTATGGTAACTTGTCTTCTTGTTCATCTGCATTCATTGCTTGCGCTAGCCACACGTGTCATGCTTATCCTCACTAGTTTCGTTTTTCTTGGATGTGAGAGGAAGGGCGACGAGCCACGCGAGCCACGACAGTCCACGCAAGAAGCAGAACACTACTAGGATTGGTTGAGCCTTTTCTTCTTTTCTAGGCGGGTCGCTCACCGTTGGCCCACGTGCCGTCTCCGCAGTCACGTATTCGGCTTCAGAGTCGGGACAGTGCTCAGTAAAGTTGCTTAGAGCAGAGATCATCTAGGCGAAGGCCTTGATTTGACGTCTGTGTTCGGGAGTCCTTTCCTTGATCGAACGTTCTTCTGTAGTCACCGAGATAAAGTTGATGCGGCATAAATGCTTCTAGCGAATGCTCCTGAAGGGGCAAGTGGCTTAGGGATAAGATGAGTCGCTCTTTCTTCGCATTTGGCTGCCTCTGCCCACCACATGATGGTGGTGGCAGTTTCCACTGCGTGGGAACTCTGATCTGACATGAAGATGATGCAGAGGTTTTAGCACTCAAGGTTGCACTCCTTCTGCTGTTGTCATCTATGAAGCAAAGTGGCCAGTGCTGGAAGCGCTCAAAAAACTTTTGTCACCTGACATTATTACCTCTGGGGCGTTAAGTTCTTAGTGGGCAGCGATGGTTCATCGGTCTGCTGTCGTTCATACATGAATATGGCTCCATGCCGTCCAAGCAAGCTGTATGCTGCGTGGGCGATGAGGCATTGCTTAACGATACCGTTGATCGTAAAGCAGTCATATCCCGAGTTTAAAGTCGCGGAGCGGGTTTCTCAGGTGGACATCAAGTCCTGTCAGCAGTGTTCCAGAGCTTCGTATCGGCGCACAGGCGGAGATGCATCATTTGTAGCTTGTTCTTGGGTAGGATTTCGCACTTGACCCATGCAAAAGCAGAGGCTGCCTCGATTTCTATCATGCAGCAGGCGCTGTCCACAGCCATTCTTGTGACATTTTGCTTGTAGGTGTTGAAGCCTGAGTCTCGTTTGTCGACTCTTGTTCCCAGACAATTCTCGGCGACATTTTGCCTTTGATTCGAGTTGCGTGTGAGATGTGTTCACTAGTTTTGAGAATCACGCTCTCAGCGGCAGCTTTCCGGCAACCCTTCACCAGTGAGCAGATGAGGACCTGCAGATTGAGGAGGACTATGGTGAGGACAATGGTCTGGAGGAGGTGCGATGCCAACTAGACTATATTGTACCTAATTACATATAAGTCTATATCTGTTTACACATATATCTGTATATCTATACACATACATGCACTCTTTAGCCTCGAGTCCACATTTTTGGTTTTGGGTTTGTTGAACTTTTGGAGGCTTTCGCCTATTTGAATTCCAACATAAAGCTTACATCCTGTGGTTTCGCGCGAATTCCGTTGCGTTTCGACGCTCCCGCTGTGGTTTCGCGCGAATGGCCTCTTCTGGCCTCTTCTGGGGGGGCCACTTAGGTTGCGGGCCGCAACGGCGCACGCGGTGGGGCGGGGCCTTCGTTTCGACGCTCCCGCTGTGGTTTCGCGCGAATTCCGTTGCGTTTCGACGCTCCCGCTGTGGTTTCGCGCGAATTCCGCGGACTTTTCTGGCCTCTTCTCGTGAATTCCGTTGCGTTTCGACGCTCCCGCTGTGGCTTCGCGTGAATTCCGGCCTCTGCTGGCCTGTTCCAGCCTATTCTGGCCTCTTCTAGGGCGGTGGGGCGTCGCGCGAATTCCGGCCGCTTCTGGCCTGTTCTGGCCTCTTCTGGGGGGCCACTTAGGTTGCGGGCCGCAACGGCGCACGCGGTGGGGCGGGGCCTTCGTTTGGACGCCCCCGCTGCGGTTCGCCCGAATTCCGTTGCGTTTCGACGCTCCCGCCGCCGTGGTTTCGCGCAGATTATTTTGTGGACTCTTCAGGCTTCTTCTGGGGGAGCCACTTGAGTTGCGGGCCGCAATGGCGCACGCAGTCGGGCGGGGCCTTCGTTTCGACGCTCCCGCTGTGGTTTCGCGCGAATTCCGTTGCGTTTCGATGCTCCCCTTGTGGTGTCGCGCAGATTCCGGCCTTGTGTGGCCTCTTCAGGCCGCTTCTGGGCGGGCCACTTTGGTTGTGGGCCGCAACGGCGCACGCGGTGGGGCGGGGCCTTATTCCGTTGCGTTTCGACGCTCCCGCTGTGGTTTCGCGCGAATTCCTCTTCTGGGGGGGCCACTTATGTTGCGGGCCGCAACGGCGCACGCGGTGGGGTGGGGCCTTCGTTTCGATGCTACCGCTGTGGTTTCGCGCGAATTCCGTTGCGTTTCGATGCTACAGCTGTGGTTTCGCGCGAATTCCGTTGCGTTTCGATGCTGCCGCTGTGGTTTCGCGCGAATTCCGTTGCGTTTCGATCGCGCGAATTCCTGCCTCTTCTGGCCCCTTCTGGGGGCCACTTAGACTGCGGGCCGCATTTTTCGAGACCTCTTCTGGCCTCCTTTGGCCTCTTCTGGCCCTCCTCACTGTTTGTGGTCTACGCCGGCATAATTTTGGAAAACCTTCCCCTTTACTCAAAAGACTTTTGTGCGCAAAAGCACTTTTAAAGGGTAAATGGAAAGCCTTCAAAAAAGAGATGCAAGAGTTTGTCGTTAACTCATCGCCAACACCGTTGTTTTAAGCTCTGCGAAAGGCACTCTCTTTTTGCCCACGAAGTATGGGTAGTCGACGAGTATAAGGCAAGTACAGTAGAGAAAGGAACAAACACTGTGAGAACCAAGACTCAGTATCGTCATATGCCAGAGTTAAACGGCGTTCTACTCTGGTCTTTGCAGCTGTCTAAACTCAGCATATTGGGAAGTAGGATGTTTTTGTAGAAGCCTTGCGCCTTGTGCTAGTAGGTTCTATCTTCTGAAGGGGACTTTACTGCCCGGAACAATGGAGTATGATTTACATGGAGTGGGCGGCATTTGACTGCCAAGCGTTGTCAACGCGAGTAGGCCTCGCTGAGGCAGGATTCTACCCAATGGAGTGGAGGGCGACCGGATCTGTTACATGTATCACTGCGTCCTATGAGACCCTCTAGACCTCTGGATGACGAAGGAGATGTCCTAACAGCTGCAATCGCTGCTGCGAATAAAGGGGCTGAATTCTCCTGGAGGAGGCCAGACTAGCAAGATAATTATTCGAGCACTCTGCGTCAGTGGGGTTGATAACCTTATGAAGACTTATTTTTGAGAATGCGTCTCATTTTCAAATGTGTTGAATCCACGTGCACGAGCTGTGGGGATGTAGTTAAGCTGGACACTGCTGCTTGGTCGCTGCAGTTAGCGTACCCTTGAAACAGTCTCAGTCAACCTACAGAGGCCCAGCCCGCGCAACAGTTGCTAAGCAGCCAGTGCTGCGATGGTAGCGCGGGCAGCGCGCTTCGCATGTGACAAGCATACGCTAGCAACTTCTCGCTTCACATCGTGACATGCTGCGCAAAGCGGCCCTCCTCCGCTTGATGGGCCATGTGAAGGAGTGTAGCCGCGCTGCCAGTCCACGAGCTCATCCAACCTACCGACAACCTTTGGGGTGGCGCACGTACTGCTCCTGACCCCTGACGGGCCTACGCCTGGAGTCACAATGTCCTCCTGTTGGGGTCCACTACCAGCGTACGGTCGTTTCGGCGATGTCCTTATTTCGTGCAGCCGAGTTGGGTCACCCAAAACACGCCGCCTACTTGCTAGTGCCTACCGACGTAATGGCGCAAACATTTCTCAGCGAACCAGGCCTTTATCTGCCTCCTTGAAGCATGAGTAGCGATCCTGGCGCTGATCATGTTCGAGCTCGAGCCTAGGTTAGATACCGTGTACATTCCATGTTGTGACACATTGGCTTCGAAAACGTTTGCTCGGACATGTCTCACTCAGCTTCCTTGAACGATGGCGTTCGTCTTGGACGGGCGGAGGACGCGATCGCCATCGACAGGAACCGGTCAGTCCTCCCGAATCGGATATTGGTCGCGCCAGTGTTACATTCGAGACGAAAGAAAGCAGGCTTTATGCCGTCGATGCGGAAGCAGTTGGGAGAATCTTGTGTGTGCTTACAAAGGTTTAGCTAGCGCCTTTATGTTCGAGCTTTTGTTGTCTGTGGGACAGGTTCGAAGCAACAACTCCAATATCCTGCACTTTGATTGTTATTTCGAATCGAACCTGTATATATTCGTGGCCATTTTAGCGAAAACATTCGAGTTGTTTCACCCACCCGGATGGTTTTTCCCCGAGACGAAAGCAGACTTTATGCCATCGATGCAGAAGCTGTTGGAAGATCTTGTGTGTGCTTGCTGGGTTTCGCACCTTTATGTTTGAGCGATTTTTTTAAATAGAGTCAGATGCATATAAAACGCATACGTACATAGATTTAATTGTTAATAGCGTAAGGCTAGTTAATCTGCATGCATCTCATGTTTGTTGGAAAGGTTTTGCTTGAGTGTAAACGGCACCAAGGCTATTGAGCGTATGCGAGCTGGCAGGCAGGATTCACAACAAACCAGGACAATCCTTGACGCGTGACGCGTGATTGCTTGCGTGACGTGCACCTAACTTGCTTCATGGGAACCTGAGGTCCACCTCTACTCGTGCTGCTAGGTGCACAATGTTTGTTTGGCAATTGCTTAAGAGTGATGTCTGGCCAGTGTAGGAAGCAGCAGTCAGAAAGCGCATGGAAGGGTGCAGCAGATGATGCCTCATGCTATGGCACTGCAGATTCATGACCGCGTTCAATTTGGCTGCATGGAACATGCCAGGTCTCCGTGAAGTATTTCATGAATGTAGCAACGTGGAGCACACTAGTACATGCTTGGGATTGCATCATGTGGCTCACTTGTCTCTCGGCAGTTTGCTGGGCGCACAGTTCGCCACATGATCACCATTCCTTCAGCCCTTGGCTAAAGTGCGGCACTCCACCAGCCTGCGGGATCCTGAAGAGAATCTATGTTGTACATAATATGGCGTGTCCTCCTAGTCCAGATGCAATAAGAAAAGATCCACGCATGTTCTTGGGAGTCTTTGACTTCGCTCGGCCCCCTGGTCCGGTCACTAGGGGCCCTTTCAGCGTTTTCAGCGAATACCCCCGAACTTGCTCTCGCCTGTGCGGTTCCGCCGCCGTTTTGTGAGGCTAGACTAGCTTTGCTATCAGCATGGAAACAGAAAGGATTCTTGCCCTCGTGCATATGTCCTGTTGATGCTTGGTGGTTTTTGTGGCATTTGAGTCTGCGGTGCAGTTCTGTGCTCGTACAAACTTGGTTGAGAAACTTTCCTGGAGAGTACGGTGCTGTGTCCAAGGCCTGTGCCGAGGAAGTTGCTGCGGACTTGTTTGAGCTGTTTTCGCAGATCGGGTTTTTGCGGACGTGAGCAGCACCTGCACCTCGTCACGGCTTTGACGGCTGGTCTGGTCGCGTTACGTATGACTCCACTCTCCACTTGGCCATTTGGGTTTCTGACTCGCAGGCTCGCTGTTGGCAGGATCGTGATGACGCGTTATCCGCAACTTTCGGTGATGAGGTTATTCTGGACATTATCTCCGTGCTAAAGCTTGTTGATTCACGCTCGTTGTCGTGATGTTGGGCCTCGTGGTCCCAAACGAGGCTCTGCTGAGAATGCAACAAAGGCACAAGAAAGCTAATTACTGTCAACGGCAAGGAAGTGGTGTCGCCAACTATTATCGAAGTAGACGTTTTTGATAGCTTGTTCAATAGTACTATGTCACTATGTCGATCTGTTTAGCGTCTCTACTCCATGTCACGAAAGGGCACTGTCAGCTCTAGGGTTTTTTTGCTCGTGCTTGGCGAGGGACCTTAAACGGCTCCTGGTGAGTCCTCTTCCCCGTGCTGTTTGACACCTGGCTGCACTGCCAGCATGGCGTCACGACCTCAACAGCCCAGCCACCGAAGCCACTGCAATCACACTGGCAAGACGCTCACCTCGCAGCACGGAGAGAGGCAGCATGAGGCAGGTCGCAGCAGCAGGTCGCGGTAGCAAGCTTCAACATGCTGTTCATAAGTTTTCACAGCGTGTGGGCTCTTTGCCAAAATCCCGGTGCTGGTCTACACTTTCTTGCACACTGCCGGTCACCTGCATCAATCATGCATCTGCGAAGAGTTATGCGAGAGAACTGTGGTTTGTCTGTGTTCTAGAACCTCATGGTCTGCCAATCTAGCCCTTGTCAGCCCTTGCTATGTCGCTGTGGGCTTGAAGGAGTTCTCCGTTGGTGCTTTGCCCACTCGGGGTCCTTAGCTCGTCCCAAATTTAATTTGCAGCTACGCCAACACAGGCTTTGCAGTCAGCTTGGTCGTGAGTCTCAGAAGGTGTGCTTGTGCAGGTGCACTGCCCGATCCAAACTTGGAAGCCAGGCGCTTCAGCGATATCGTTTTTGGATCCCTCGTAGTGCAACATGCTTTCGCCAGCGGAGGCTCAGTCAGATGGAACCCTGTTTCAGCCTCAGAGGGCTCAAAGGGCTCCACTGCTGCCGCGTGCGGAACTCATGCCTGTGCATGTATCATCATGTGTCATCATGTATCATCAGGTGTCATCATGTATCATGAGGTATCCATACCTGCACATCCCTCGGATTGTGGAGTGTTTGCAACGACGCAGCGCGCAGATGCGGAAACATAGGCAGTTTTCATGTGGTCAAGGCGTAAAGTGCATGCCGCCTTAGTTGCATATTCGGCGTTTACCATAGTCTAGAACTAGAAACGAAATGTGGCCGTCAACGGTAGAAAATTAGGGATGACACGGGAGGAACGGCATTGCTTTAGAAAATGGAAGGGCCTTTTGTGCAGGAAGGGTTTCAACTAGTGTTGGCCTGATTTGCAGGTCTACATCCCAAGTTTCGCCATGCCAGCCATCAGCTAGCAGGACGTGCTTCAGCGGTTCAGAGTCTCGTGGTCCTGGTTTCAATTCTGCCAGACAGCTATGGCTTGCTTTACGCCTGCCAAGTTAGCACTCAAAGCCAGATGCTTCAGACGGTTTGGCTGCGCATAGACCGCAAAGATTGCGTGGAAGCCGATGAGCCGTAGGACTGCCAAGTGTTGCGGCCTCAGTGCGAGAGTTGAGAGGTGCCGACAGTGCCGACTTCTCCAAATGAAGCCCTGGTGTCAGGTGGCGAAGCTGAGCTCCCAAAAAGGCAGACCGAGGTTGAGCCGGTGGAGCCTTACCAGAACAAGGCCTCTGGCCTGTGTTGGCACTTGAAGCATTGCGAAGCAAAGCAAAAAACTTGGTTTTTTGGAGGCCACCGAGTCCAAGCCACGCTCTGCTCACTCGGGTGGCTTGGCTAGTCTTGCGCATGTCTTGCGCATGCCGTGCGCACGTCTTGCGCATGTCTTGCGCGTTTTGCATGATTGTCATTGTCAAGTGCCGACCGTCGAGCAGATGCCTCAACCCGCGTCGAGGCACTCGGCCCAGATCTGCGGATCAGAAGGCTCACATGATCGTGATGCCACATTGCCAGGAATCGTGCATAGAGTCACGCAGCATCGAGTCCTTTTTCATGCCATAAATGTGGCCCACGTCCGAATCTTATTGCCAAGCCTGTGCCTTGTACATGAGAGGCTTCGCATGCCATCCACCGTGGCTCGACTGGCTTCGAGTCTGCCGTCGCCCCCAGCGATGATGTTGAGAATGTTGTGGTAGTTGAAGGCGTGTTGGCTTTGACAGTTCCGCAAGCCTGGAGGCTCGCTCGAGGCAGGCTTGCTTGTCATCACGGCTTTTAAGATGCAACTTCGTTGTGTCATTGTGGCAGCTGCTTACAGAGATCCCTCGGCAATGTCATTGCAGCATGGCATGCTACAACATGTCATTCAAAGGCAATGTTGCGAGTAGGTGGAAGGATGTCGATTGAACGGCATGGATTGTTGAAATCCCTGTTCAGGGTGGTTGGAGGGATTCGATGCGACCAAGTTATTTCTCGACACCTTCCAGAGCGCGAGGTGCGGTTCTCACGTGGCATATGATTCCCCAAGAAAGATGGCACATGAGCGGGACTGGTCCCAAGTGTACCACCACAGATACGCAGTTTCTAAAGAAAGCAGGTGAAGCTGAGCTGCAGATATCCTGTGTTGTCAGCTCGAATATGTGCACTTATGCCAAACGAGGGAAGTTGGAATGCCAGCTGCTGCATGCATATCAGGCCAGTGTAGCCTCAGCAGCGTCGGCAGCATGAGTTTCACGGAGAGCAACTGCAATAGCTCGAGGCATCCCCCTAAAAGGTTGTTGCGCTGAGGCCAGATTGAACGTCGAAGTTTGGCTGCATGCGTTTGCAAGGCCATGCGTGCAAACTCATAGGCACCCAGGCCATCCCAGGCCAGATTCCCTTTCTGATGACGTCCAGCTTTCGCCGGGCAGCCTTCGACATTGGTTCGGGCGCGACCAAGCTCATGATTGCCGAAATGAACGGAGGAACGTTTCAGGTGGTCTGGATGGGAACGGAGGGGGAGCTAATCACATTTTACCGTATATGAGCGAGTTTTCAAGTAGACCGAACCAAGCACGTTTGTCTTTAGTTTTATTCATGCTATCGTGAACACTGGCTCCTTGAGTCGGAATGGCAACTTCATTCTGTATCTTGAAGGATGTTCCAATGAAAGGATACTTTTCTGCGTTTTTTTGTTGAGGAGCTCTTTGCACGGGAAGTCCCTGTGCCATTTGCTGTCGACTGGAAGCAATCTTCTGATGGCAACCTGAGTGCTGCCATCCAGAAACAGGCGGTCAGTTCACGGGAATTTCAGTAGGAAGAGAAGACCTCATTGCATGTTGGCTTGTGGGCCCTCAGGGCATCTTGGTATTGCAGAGCTTTCTGCGTGAGTGCGAAGATCGACACGTCACCTCTGATGAACGTCGCGCCATCGCAACAGAGGTCTTCCGAAAGGCCCGAGCTGAGGATGTAAGGGTTTCCGCATGTTTCCGCTTTGGATCACACGGCGTTGGCCTTGATAGCACCTAAAGAGCCCAGACGCGCTGTTGAAGGGCAAGCATTGCGGCAAGCTTCCAGGCCGGCAATGGTGCGGCCTTCCTTAGCCGAGTGCTTGCGGAGCTATCGCTGCCAGTTCGAGTACCTCGGCACAATGTGCAAGTCGAAAGTGAGAAAGTGGAAAAGTGATGATAAAGTGAGATAGTGAGAAAGTGAAAAAGTGAGGAAGTGAACAAGTGATAAATTTAACCGCCAAGGTCTTGACGCAGGATGAGGAGGCGGAGGTAGGATTCCGAACCGCCGTGGCGCTGTCGAAGTCCGACAGCACCATTTGCTGGGATTCAGGAGGCGGGCAGACAACAAATTGGAGACACGTCAGCAACATCTCTCCTACCAGGTGCCAGTTTTCAGATCACCTCACGGGCGGCCGATGGGACCCTGCAGACTTACCTTGGAAGCTTGGGCACTGGTGTTGTCACCTCTCTGCTGGTGCCTCATATGCTCAACCTAGTTTTCTGAACATAAAACCCACGGATGTTAAACATTGGCCCCTGGAAGGTGGAAGGAGTTCAAGGCCACAGCTTTGCAGAGACTCCCTCGCCCAATCCCGTCGCAGCAAAGGATTCCGCAGCGGGCCAAGGATGTCGGTGTGCACAAGATACAAATCAATTGACCTTAAAGCCTTTCAAATGTTGGCTTCTGAGGACCAGCTACTGGCTAAGCTGAAGCAAATGCTGCCCCCGGTGCCAAGCTGGCTTCAGCGCAGCAAGGTGACCGCCATCGGTGGTCCTAACTCCATGTTCTGCGTGGCTTCCGAAGCATTGGGTGAGCACAAATACACTCCTTCAGCCATTCGCAAAGTTCTTTTTGACGTGATTGGCAAGACCGATGACGAGCTGCTGCTCTGTCGCTTTTGCCAAGGCTGTTGCCCATACATCTGTAGTCATCAGTTTTGTAGCTTTTGTCCCGAAATCGGACTTCTCACCCTGTCGAAGGAGAGCTGCGGGAGCCTCCTTCCTTCATTCTCCCCAAGATCGCCCTTCTGCTTGCTGTCATGGAGCACTGTCAAATAGAGGAAGTATTGTTCTATGGCACAATTGGTTCGTGTCCAGGCATCCTCATCAGCGACGATATGTGGGGTGGCGTTGCCTCATGACTGACCTGACCGCTGGCTGTTCCTGGAAAGACGATGCCGTTGACGGAGTCTCATAGTGACATTTCATGCATGGTCAGGCGCTGCAGAAAGAGTGTTGCTATCGTTCTTTCTGCCGACCTCTCTACGGATCACTTGGTGTTCTTTTTGTAAGGGTTTCCCAACCTCCGGGAGAAGATTTCTTTCGTAACCTTTACCCTCCACCCAACCTCAAGCCACCCCACCATCCGCTCCCACAAGCCCACGGCGCGTCAGAACACAAAGTCGCTGACTCGCAGACTAGTCACTAGTTTCCTCGATTATGGCTGGCATGGATGGGCCATAGCTGAATCAGCACGCACAAGAAACGGCACTTGCCAAGGTTGTCAGGATGCATTCGCCTATTCTTGACATCCCCTGACCCTGTCAGGACCAAACCCCGAAACCCTCCATATTTACGCCCTTAACCCCTTCCCTGCCAGAAGTAGACAAAATCGCCAAGCAAAAACCACAACGGTCACGACCCCAAGCCCAACAAGCCCCAAGCAAAACCTCACCCGACACAAGCCCGAAACTGCGAAAGCAACCAAACCCAGCCGGCCCCAGCAGGGGCTTAGCCCAACTGCAAGCCGCACCAAACCCAAGACACAGAGCACGAAAACCCCAAAACATCCAAGCAGTCGCGAGCACAATTAACCCAGCCCCACCAGCTAAACGATCCCTACTGTTTGCTTCAACGACAGGCATCGCAAGGCGCCACAAAACCATGGCCAAGCGCAAGTTTCCGCAACACTCGCGGACGCTTGCCAGCTCTTTGCGGACGCTTTGGAAGCTCTTTGCGAGCGCTCGCACAACGGTCACCTCTTTCACCCCAGACCCCAACACTTTAACCGGAAACCCTTCTGCTACGCATGCAGGAAAAGCGTTAAAGTGGTCAACCGTGGACAACTTGCGGCAAGAACAACTTCCGAATCGTCCAGCAGGTCGCCACGGGGACCGAGCACTGCTCACCGGCCCACGGGGGCACCTGTCAGCACTGCCATAAATCCAGGGTGCCGATCATTAATTACACGAGCCAAGTCACCAGTTTCAGCTCAGGACGATGCGCAGCTGCCAAAAAATAGAACCAATAGCAGGTATTAACCGGGACGTCTCTTAGTGCATCACTTCAGAAAGTGGGCATCTTCGCTGGCAGTGATCCCACAGTCTCAGCACAACCCCTGCTGTGGTAAACGCCAGCTTAGCATCCCGTGCGCACGCACACACACACGCACAAACGAACTCTCAATCTACAATCCTCAATCCAAACCTAAGTTAAGACCAGAAGCGTGGGAGGGAAGACCAAGAAACGATGCAATTGCGTTTGCGATCAGCCAGGTGCAGTCGAAGATGATTTCCGTGCTGGCTCGACAATTGGAGCGCTTGCGAGCAGACGACCCAGATCGCCCGTGCGAAGTTTCTAGAGCTTCATGCGTTGCATGGTCTCTGTCAAGCAAGGACTGCATTCCAGCTTTTGCCGCACAATGGCAAACAGTGCCAAACACTCAGAATTCCTCGGCCTGCGGCAGCTTGAACTTAGCCGCTAAGCCTTGGGCAACCCGTACCAGTCGGCAGAAAGCCACCCCCGGCAGTCCTGCGGTGGCAGGGAGACGTACCTAGAGAAGGAAGAGCGCAAGCTGGTGGAGAAGGAAAGAGAGGCCAGCAGCGAGTGATTCCAACAGCTGTTTGCCCATGGTAGCCACTTGTTTGGACGACGGAAGGTGTAGCGGTGTGTGCAGGGTGTAGGGCTTCCATCCATTGAGCTGGTTCAAGGTTGGTTGGAGTTTGCAGTGCCCCGCCTACGGGAAGCAGTGTTCGTGGTCAATCATTTTACAGTGAAGAGGCGGTTGACCGTGGCGCGACTCCTGAGCCATTTTGGGCTTGAGTGAGAACTTTGAAGCTTCCAGTTACGCAGCCATGTGCCGGCCGAAGTATCGGGGAGCTTTGTTGGCAGGCTGGCAGGACAGTTTTCGTGCAAGTCAACATGGTCCATGTTCCTGCCATACATTCGGCGGCAGGCCTGCTGCTGGTGTGCCCGAGCATCTCCTTTACGCTACCTTCGCCAGCCTGTCGGCGCGCGATCTTGCTTGGACCATTGCTCCTCGCACTCCCAGATCCTGCCGTTGCCAGGGCTCCTTGACGAGGGCATTTTCAAAGAGTTTGCTAGAGTTGAGCTGCTTACGTGAAGCCGCGCACGTGCGCGGCTGCTTTCACGGGTGTTCCTTTTTGCCGCTGCTGCCTTCATGATTCTTTAAATTCTTGAACATAATGCCTTGCACAATGCTCTGGGCTACGCGGAACGGAAAAATCAAGAGAGGCGGAGGCCTCCGAGGAACTGCAGGAGACGCAGCAAGAGAAATAGGCTCGCGAACCGCATTCAGTTGATGTCAGGCTAACTCGGGTGCAAGTTTTTTTTTTGCATTATTGAAGCATTGCCATTGGTTACCAGGCAAGCAAAAACGGCGGTCAACGAACACAAATCCACTGTCCTGACACTGTCCTGACGAAGCTTCGCGAAGCTCGAAAGGAGCGGACAGGAGCGGACAGGAGGCCACATGGTTTTCATTGGTTTTCATGGTGGTGGTGGCAAGTGGCATTTCTGCCAATTTCTGCACGCGAGAAAAACGGCAGCGAAAAAGCAAGAGACACGACCTTGTTCTCGCCACTGTTCATAGCCCTCAGCCCTCGAGATGGCCCTCAGCTGTCCATACTCCCGATGAGTTCTGATATGTTCTGTTATGTTCTGTTTTTATGCACCGTCCACAGTGTGAGCACTTGCCGCTGATCCTTAGTCAATCCGGCATCGTCACGCAAAGAATTGTAGAGAGATTCTGCGTCATGGGTATTACACGGCAATCGCTTTCCGTGCGCTTGCTTTAGAACACCCCACCGCCCACCTGCGGGAGTGATTGCCGGTTGTTCTTTCTGAAGAAATCTCATGATGCGAGCTTGTCCCTTTGGCTCACTGGGCGCTCTGGGCCCACGTGTCCATCCAAGAGCCCACGAACTGGAACGACAGCTGAATCTGAAACCCGTCATCCAACATGCATGTCGCTACCCACATAACCGGACATCTTCATGAACGGTACAAAAGACAGAGAGAGATGTTTGCAGCGTTGTGCACGAGGGACGGACGAAGAACGGCTTAGCAAATCGCAAGGGGGCATAGGATATTAGACGGTTTTAGACAGTGTTTTGGAGGTCTGCAAGATGTAAGGGGGAGGGGCACCTCGCGCAGAAGCTATTTGCCGCTTCGCTTGCTTTCACTCGCGGCTCTTGTTAATGTTTTGAATCAATTGTATGGCATGTTTGTGCATGCCGGCGTTGTTGTTTTTGATTTGCTGCGTTTGAAGCGATACAAAGATGAGATGTACGGTGGCAAGTTGTGAGAAGACGTGCTGTGTTACGCCTTTGCATTTCAACTTACATAATCTCGTGCTGGCCTTCAGTACATCAAGGTTGCCAGTCTTCTACACATGTCGACATGCCATGCTATGCCTTGTTTGCCCACAAGCAAAGGAAGGCTTCACGGAGACGTCCTCGGGACTGCAATACAAAGTGCTCCAAGAAGGATCTGGCGAAAACCCGACGACAGGGCAGATGATTGCTGCGGATTACACAGGCTGGCAGAATGGAGTCAGCATAATTGGATGCTGTGCACGTTTGCCTGTTTGCAGGTTGGCTGGAGGATTTCGAATCCGACAAAAAGTTTGATTCTTCACGGGACAGGAGGCAGCCCTTGAAGTTTCAGGCCGGGGGGTTGCTGCTAGCCCAGCATGGCGAAGCCATTGGATAAAGAATATGTGAACATGTCCATTTCAAGATAATATCATTCCTAACCCTTAGGGCGGCATTTTCCCGGCCATGCGAAATTTGAAAGCGAAAGCAAGCAGAGCCAGCAGTTCAGCATGCTTTACTTCCGGCGGCCGTGCCCCGCAAGCTGGAAGGTCTACAAACTTGGAGGTTTTCCTTCTCCTCTCCTTAGGGTTGTGTAGGCCTGCTCCCCATTGTTTCGGTTCAGTTCCCTGCCTGCATTTTGGCTGCCTGATGAATCCTTTTCTTTTTTTCCAGAAGGAGGCAGCTGTCGAGCGAGCCCTCACTCGGAAGACCGAGTCTCCACTTTGAACAGGTGATTTTTTGCACTTGTCCGCATCGCCACTGAGCTTTTCCACGACCAGACTCGTAGTCAGTCTGCTGATATCCTCCATTGCCATTCCCTTCCCTTCGGCTCCTTCAGTTCGACACCGCCGCTTGCTACTGCAGAAAAGGCATACTAGCCGACTATGTCCGTCTAGCCGAGTCTGGCCTGGACACTCTCGGAGCGTGCCGGCCGCGTGACAAGAGACGAAGTCAAAGCTCGGAACCAGAGCTGTGAGCAAAAAGGGCTTGCAGTAGCTAGCGCTTAAGCCAGCAAGCGCGCGAAATAGCCAGCACAAGAAGCGTGCAAGGCACTGAACAGAACCAGGCTGAGGACGACCCGCCTCTGGCAGATGGAAGCCGCTATTTAGAGACGAGGAGCTGCGCAGCAGATCCAACAAGAGTGCAAAGGCGAACCCAAGGATCCCGCGGCATATTCAAGATTGCCAGCCAGGCTTGCCAGCGGCCGAAAGGCGTCGAAGTGATCCTCTCGTAAAAGGCAAGTCGGACCAGAAGCCGGTCTGCATCGCCGCAGTCGCTGCGCTCGCTGAATCAACACAAGGATGGCCTCTTGTTGACCTCGGCGTTCTGCCGGATTTCGCGAAAAGGCTGGCTGACAGTCCCGTGCCAGCGCTCTCCTCAGCCCTCCCACCCTTCGCGCGGTCTGGCACATCTGAGCGTGGTTGCGACGGTTGCTTTCCTCCCTCTTGAGACGAGAGGTTTAAATAGTGCTGACTGCACGGTTCGCAATGAAGTTCTCAGAAGTCAGTATCAGCAAAGCAGTTCTTAATTTCTTTCAGTTTTGATTGTCTGCGTTCATACGGGCTTTGGATTTTTGTGCACGGAACATGCTTCGCGCAGCCGTGGCATGCTTGCAGGCCTCCTGGATGCAACTTGCGATTTCACTGATTGCAGCAACAATCGAAAACTGTCTCAACTGCATGAAGACGATGATTTTCGGGCAGGTTGGCATTGGCAAGGTCATCAAGGGCTGGGACGAGGCACTACTGGACATGAAGGTGCCGTGTTGCGCTATCAGGTAAGCAAGCAAGCGCTGACTGCTCAAATATCTCCAAAGGACTTGCTGAATCGGCACACATGTTTGGGGGCTTTGCCCGCAAACCTTTTTTTTTGTTGGTCCGCTCGGACAGGTTGGTGAGCGCCGCCAGATCGTTGTTCCACCATCACTCGGCTATGGAAGCCGCAGCATTGGCCCAATCCCAGCGGGTTCCACGCATCTTGCATGTGTTTAGTGCCGCCTGCCTGCATGAGCTTTCTTGAGATATCCATCTGGACATTGGCAGTGAGGTTGTATTTTGATGTGGAGTTGAAGTCCATTGGTGCGAGATGAGATTCCTGAGAGAAGGTGTGGACAGGCAAAGCGAGTCCGAGCATAAAATGGTTGCCAGCCCTCTGGCAACGTGTCAATCCGAAAAACTTTGCGATCTTCGTGTAGTGTTTTTAGAGTAGGTGCACATGCTGTATACTGCTATATGGCTTCACGCATGCACCACTGACAGAGAACCGTCGGCAGAGATGTTGCTACAGCTTGCGGCTTGCGGCTACATGTGTTCATGAACCTTGGTTGCATGATGTGGCATGTGTTCGCGGGCTTCAAGGTGGTTCAACATGAAGCTTTGATATCTACACGGACGCGTATTTACATGTGACGCTGGAGTCAATTGAATAGGTTCTGCTTCTTTGCGCGATTAATTTACAGTCGGGCATAAGTTTACCACACCCGAGAGCCTTCAAGAAGCACGACGTCTTTTTCGATGTGGTGAGCACATTGAGTGAGTTGGTTAGTTTTTTCAGGCCGTTCTCTTTCGAGCGAACCCAATGTTAGCATGCCTAGAGGCACTAGAGGCTTGCAACTCTTTGTAGTCGTCGCTTCACCATGGACACACCCTCAAATCACGACATCTGGAAGCCTCTGCTGCTTCTTGTCGTGGGCTGGCTTCTGTCAGCGGCGCATCTGCTCGCATTCCTTTGGGAATTGTGGCCGCGGAGTGCTTGGGCTCCTGCCCCCTGCCAGCAGGGCACATGCTAGACTTTGGGCCTGCTGTGTGTCTTATCGGCAGATATTTGACGTTCGTAGCCCGAACAATGGTCCAGCAGCCAAGGTCGTTTACTCATTGAATGTCGTGCTGTTCATCCTGGTCTCCTTTCTTTGTGCGGTTCCGACTATACCAAAGTCCAAGAAGCCCTTTATGCAGGCTCGTTCAATATTTTGAAACAAGCCGTTTCTGGGTTGTTTTGTGACCTTTTGAAGCTATCAGAACTCTTGCAGGCATTGTGGCACATTGGTCTTGTTGGGGCGGTTCCTGCCGTAACAGCCTTCGTCCTGCTAAGCTACCTCCACTCCCTGTCTGCTGCCTTCGTGGACTACTTGGAGCGCCCCAGCTTGTCGCAAGCCACTATCTGTCTCGTGTTCTGTGCTTCTGGACTGACTAGATGTCTAGGCTGGGCTCTGGCATTGCATTGACCAGGGCTGTGTGGCAGCCTGTGCCACATGCTCAGGAGTGTGGCCTTGTGTCTTTCGGCCATGGTGCTGCTTGCGCTTTGGGTGGGTACCTCTTCAACGTTTTAGCAAGGGTCCATTTCGAAGGGTCCTTTTCCGTGTATGTTTTCTTTGCAGCACACCGTGTTTTTGCTGTTGTGATCCCGAATCCTCCGAGGGGCCGCGGATTCGGTCGGAAGCCTTGGCCTGCAGCCGCTCAAGGAGGCACGGAGAAGTTTCTTTCACACATCTTTGCGACTCTAACGCCGCACACGCGCTGTTCCAACGGTATGTGTGCGTGTGTGCATGCATGCATTCGCCTATTTATAGTTAGAACTACCCCCCCCTCCCCCCGCCGCCCAATGATCTGCTCGGCTGCTTCTTGTGGCTAGTTCAGTTGAAAATCTTGCTATGTTCTGCGGGTAGAGTTTTTTGAGTTGCATACACGACAGACTCTTCCCTGTGTCCTTTTGCATACACAAATAGACTGTGTTTCTAGTTATCGGCAGGGACAATTATGATCTTAACAGGTGTTGTTGGTTGTTTTTGTTGATTTGCTTGCAAGGTGCCACATCTTGGAACGACCGACAGAAACACTTTGTGTTTGGTTTGTGGTGTTTGGTTGTCCCTGAGATGGACCGAGCCAGCTCACAGGCCCGCCCCAGATCCACGGGCTCAGATACTGGGAATATGGAAGACCCAGAGCGAGCACCTTCCCTCCAAAAGAAGGCGAGAGGAAAGCATACCCGATATTGCTTGTATATATATATATATATATAGTCTTTTGTATAGACGAAGATTCAGTCTTCACTCTTACGGATGGAGCGGATTAAGATGAGACATCCTCCACACTGACAAGGCTCAAGCCCTCGAATTCAATCATCATGCATCATGTCCATGAGGAAGAAGAGTATAACTACGGTATCGTAACATCTTATTAGAAGTTTTTCCCCGGGAAACGATGCGAACAACTCTAAGACTCCAACCTTGCAGTCTTCATTGCAATCTTCATTGTTCCAGCAGTTAGGACATTGATGAGATTCGCATAGGGTCTAGTATAATCTCACAGGTGGGCATCACATTGTCAATATAAGAATATAAGATGTTCAATGGTGACATTTTGATTGCGCGCTGCTTAAACAGTGTCAGATGCCTGTCGTCAGAAGGACCATAGAATGGTTGTAATTGAAAGATGTCGTACTAAACATCAGATAAGTTCTATATGCATCTAATGTTAGGCCTCTGTATTACTCTATGGTCGCCGGTCAATACCTCTTGCGTTTCTCATAGCGTTGAAATTTAATTAGAGACTTATTATGCACGCAAATCTTCGCATCAAGAAAAGCCACCCCCCTCTCCAATCCTGAAGGAGAAGGAGAAGGGGGAGGAGAAGGAGAAGAAGAAGAAGAAGAAGAAGAAGAAGAAGAAGAAGAAGAAGAAGAAGAAGAAGAAGAAGAAGAAGAAGAAAAAGACAAATCATAAGAAAAATAAGAAGAAAAATATTCAGAAAAAGAAGCTTGGAAGCCTGGCATTGAATCGCTGTGACCTCCCGTGCCTGCTATGCCTCTGTCAAGCAGTTGCTGTCTGGTTGCGAGGAGGTTTGGGGGTTCTTGGTCACCTGCCTAAGGTGCTGCCGAAAGCGCCGCCTGCACTTTTGCGTAAACAGCCTCCTGCCTTGGTCGGGCCTCACCTCGCAAGACGCACGCCCACAGACAACGCCAACCATAACGTTTTCCTGTTTCTGGCACACAGCCGTGCACCGCACTTTGGGTTTGCTGCCCAGATCCCTGACAGCCCCATTGCCAGCCAGACAGCCCCCAGCCGCTGCTTTCTGCCTGCGTTTCAACAGCCTGCCTCTGCGCCGCCAGTGGACGCCCTTTCAACGTGACCTGGAGCCTGCTCAGTGCCTGTGATAAGTCCTGCCTGGCCAAAACAACTTGGTGGCACTGTTCAGACTGCCTCTGGTTTTCCGAAGGCCTTCAATTGCCTTTTGAGCCCTCGGATGAGGAATCTTTCGACAGTGAAGCTTCGACAGCTCGGCCTTGGTTTTGGAGGCCCAGCCTGGTGGTCTTCACGGCCCTGACATGGCACCAGCCCTAAGACGTAGAGCCTTAAGCCTGCCCATTATTGCTGACGCCCAGGTGTGCCTCTTCTCGCCGATCACGAAGGTCCAGCCGTGAGCCTGTTTTTGGCATGTCAAGGGCGGAACTGAGAAGGTTCTGCGAAAACATTTCCCCCGAATGCCACCATGTTCTGGTCCTGCATGCCCCGCTGGGCTTTCAGTCTCCTGCCTCAGGAGCTGCTGCCTTGTTCTTGACGATCAGCAAGAACTGCCTGCCACCAATAGGCAGAGAACCTGGCGCCAAAGTGACACACTTTCTAGTAGTAGAGGCGTCCCTGAAAGCGAAAGAGCAGGAGGCCGCTATCTGTAAGCCTGACCGTAACGCGTTGATGGGCTGCTTTGACTTCCAGGCTGGCCCCTGACCAGAGGCGGGTCTTCAGGCTGGAAGGCCAAGGCGCAAGAGGGACTGACCTGGCAGATTGTGCTGTCCAGGATGAGGCGAGGTTTTTGCTATCTGCTGTGACAACGTTCAGCTTCCCGATTGTGAGTCCTAGAGGCCAGGCACGTCGAGCGTCCTCTTCGCACAAGGCTGCAGCCCAACCATTAGAAATTTCGCTTGTGTCAGGCCCAAACCCGGTGCCGTCCAGACCACAACCCCTACCCCTGTGCCCATGTCAAAGACGAGCGGACGTTCGCACACTCAGCTCTTTTTGCGCTTTCCGGCGGTTGTTCTTCTGGGGTTTCTTTGCAAGCCTGCCTAGTTGTCCTCTGAGGCCTGCCTGCATCGTCGCGTCTGGCCTCAGGTGCCTTTTCCGTGCCTGCCTTTTTGCACTTGCCGCTAGCCTCAGCACCCACCTGCGCTCTTTCACCGCGCCCCTCTACTCCGACCTTCGCAGCCCGCCTGGAACTATGTATAGTCTGCCTGCACGCCTTTGGCAACAGCTGCTATTCGCAGTGAACTTCAAAGGGGTCATGATCAAAACTGTTCCAGCCTTGTGCCTACCCTTGCAGGCGCGCGTTATAGAATGCCAAGGACGTATCGTTCGCTGCAAGGCCGACATACCTCCTGTGCCTGCCTCGGCCGCAGTCGCCTGGCTTAGGATAGCAGATCCCGAAGCACAGAGAGTGGTTCTCCGCAACGAGAGCAAAGAAGCCATCCACTGACTCATGCAGCGCCTCACCTTCTGCCCGACAGTGCCTCTTCGGATACTGCGCTTAAGGGCCAGCCTCGCTGCCGTGGATGCAATGGCCGAAGGAGAAACCATTGTTGTAGCGATGTCATCTGGCAGCACCAAATGGTAACTGGCAGGCACAATGAAAGAATGAGGAAAACTCAGAAAAACGCAACCAGAAGAGGTAAACCCTCACAGGTGGGTGGCTGGGCTCTCAGGGCCTCAGCTGACGAATCTCGGCGCGCGCACGGCGCTGCTCGGCAAGAGTGCAATACCCATGACGCTTGAGCATATCATTCTGCTGGCGACGGGGCAACTGCAAAATCTCTTCGAAAGGAACAAGAGGCGCGGACGCCTCACGTTGGCCGAAGGAGAAACCATTGGCGTCGGGGGTTGGTTTGCGCTTAGTGATGACTTTGCCTGGTTTTCCGAAATCTGGACTGTCCAGGAAGTCCGCCACGCCTGGCCTTTCTTAACCAAAGAGCCCCAGCAGTACATTGCCTGCTTCGAGACCATAGCGCAGCTCGCCTTAGCCATGCTGGCGAAGCGACGCCTGGGGATCAGCCAACGGTTTGCCATACCCACGGGATCCGATAATGTGCCCGGCCTGGCCTCTATCCTACTTCCTCCACCTGGTGGCTACGTGGTCACCTGCCAATGTGGTCACATTGCAAACATGACGGCGGGTGGGTGGGAAATCGTTTCAGGCGTCAGTCGGGCAAAGAGAAAAGGCAGGCAGCTGTGAGGCCCTGAAGCAGGGCGCAGCAGGCAGGTCTCTTTGACCCAGGCACCCCCACTTTAGCGGCCTGAAGCATACCGGAACAAACTAGGCTCCACACCCCCGCCGCGTGCGGTATGCCTTAGTCGGGCATGCGGTTGAGGCTGGACGACGTGTGCTGTCGAACCGAAAACCTACGCTCTTTTTTCACGCGGCTCGCAAAGGTCGTCGTAGGGAGGCACTCTTGCTCCAAGGGGCAGACGGCGGCTCGAAGCTGAGGCAGCCAGAGCAGGCTAGGAAATCCGCAGGGCTGAAGCGAAGGCGCTACCGCGTCGAGGCGGTCGCGGCTCAAGGCATCCGCGAGTTCATTTTTGACTCCGCTTGCTTGCAATTTTCCTTTTTAAGGGGTGCCTGGGTCAAAGAGACCTGCCTGCTGCCCTGCCTCAGGGCCTCACAGCTGCCTGCCTTTTCTCTTTGCCCGACGGACGCCTGAAGCAACACCTGAAAAAAGAAGCGAGGGTTGCCTGCACTCGTCTTCTTAGCAGTTCGAGTCTAGAGGTTGGTTGAGAAACAAATCCAAGTATCCAAAGCTCCCGGAGAATCTCCTGGAAACTTTGGATATCTGGAGTTGTTAGATTGGAGAAGGGTGGCCTTTCTTTCAACACTAAACAAATCAAACGACTTCCCCATGCACACACCAGGTGCGTACAGTGCCTTGTAAGGGTGAAAGGTCGAGTGGAGTGGAGGCCGTACGTAGATTGTACATACATACATATATATATATATATATACACACGTACATACATACATACATACAGAAAGGGACCCATTACATACATAGTATACTGCATGCCCCTCCCCCCTTGGTGCCTGTGCCTGTTTTTTTGCAGATGCGATGACGAAGCGTGGTGCTGCGAGAACAGTAGGCAAAGGAGATGATTAAGTTGCCAGGCGATATGTGTGAATACAAAGCAGCATATGTGGCACAAGAGTATTGCATTTGGAGGCTAATTTTATTCAATGGTTTTTGTTACTAACAAATGGCCTCAGGATTGTATGTTTTTCATTCGTTCATCGAATGGACTTTATATGCTTCCTTCTAATCATAGAATGTACATATTTCGTATGTATGATGCCACCAGATGATTAAAGTGCCGTATGTGTTCAACTTGGCGCATCGAGACAAATAAAACTGGAAGTTCACAAATGGCCTTTAATTCGAAACATTTTAGAGACTTGAAAAGTTTTGTGTGTTTGCCTGGGTTCTTAGTCATATTCGGCCCTCCCCAATGGACGAAGACAGCGCAATTGTCATCATCAGGTGCTGAGTTTCCCGAATTGAGCATGATATCAACAGGCCTTGAACTAAAACACAGGCCACTACTTTCCGGGAACTTTAGAGCCATGACCATGATCTAAAGAGTTGGGTTTACGTAGTCATATACATACCAAAGATATTTAATGACTTTGTTCGTTGGACTAGAATATTGATCATATCTTATTCTTCCGAGGAGTCAAAGCCAGATTCAACACAAATGGTATTTGCCGGGGCTAGTGATTCCACTTCTTGAGTTATGATAACAACTGGCCGTGAATTGAAACGTACAGTAAGAAGTCAGTAAATCCGCAATCGAAGGTAGAGAACCAGGCTCTTGATTTACTCATATCGTAAATCAGCATTGGGTGTTGGGTCGACCTCCAAGATTTGACTTATCATGGCCTAATAACTATAGGGGCAACTGATCATGTCTGAAGGTGAAGGATTCTGCTTCCTTCTCTTGCTTCTTCTTAAGAAGAACGGTGCGTCGCATGCCTTGCGAAGAGGTGCTTTCGAGTTGTAGACGGGGCGTCTTCGGCCCACTTCCTAACAGCAACATGGAGAACACCCCTCGTCCCCTTCTCCATAAACTTAAGTGTTCATGAGGGAGGCGGAAGCCTCCCCACAACGTGTTAATTTACTTTGCATAAGAAGTGAAATGTTCAATCTAGACACAGAATTTTGCCGACACAGAGGAGAGAAGCACAATGTATATGAAGCGGGGAAGAGAAGCTAATGCCTTTCTAGGGAAAGGCTGTTGGTCCTAGAGAGTGAGAAGTGGAGGCCCCATGCACAAAGTGTGGAATTCCCCTCCACGCCGGAAATATCTTCTACACCCCAACCCGTGCAAAACCCTTGAGTCCAGTGCTGATCAGAAGACAGTGAACCTTATCCTGTTTAGGATGGGCCACAGGAGAACATATGGCGGCCAAACTCCTCACAATCTGCTTCTGACAAACCGCCCGACGAACCTGCAAAGACGGATTTCGGCATGCAGTCCGCAGCCTCTACTTGACATCGCCTCTCTCCTCGATTTTCCACCTCCGCACACTACAGAAAGCAAAACATGTAGGAACCTTGCTGTTGCCAGCAGCTCTTCGAGTGACAAGACCAGATAAGTGCACAAGAACTCAATAACACCATTTCTTGATAACACAAGAAGTTGCCAGATCTTTCTTCGCAACTGGTCTCTGCCGCCATCTAGCTTGGACTCTTCTTTTTGACCGACAAATGCAGAAACGAGGACAAACACACAGATTTCCCAAACCCTCGAGGAGACCGAAACCCCGAACCCCAAAAAACTCTGAAGACACTGAGCTGTATGTATTGTCAAAGCGTATGACGTGTGTACTTCGAAAAATACCCTGGTATTAACTCAAGACGACATTGTAACTATGAAAATACCACAGAACCTGATACATGTATAGCGGAATGCCATCCAAGCAGGAGCATATTCTTATTCTTTCGCTTTTCTGTGTTTGCACCTTCTGTCGCTGCGAATATCGTGAGTTTGTTTAAAGGGCATAGCCATATCAACTGTCATAACGGAGGAAGCCTTCCGCATATACCTTCAGGTGGTGTTTCCATCCCCTGTGTGAAGAGAAGTCCTCCGAGAGAGTTTTTTTCACAAAGACGTGGTAAGTATCTCGCCACGAAAGCGAGGCCACACGACGGGCTTTCCCCCGCACCAATCAAAAGCAAAGTCATCTCCTCCGACTTGTAGCCGTTCCCTGTACATGTAGACAGAGAGGCCGCAGGAGCTCCACTCCCCCAACACGCAAGCGGAAGTCCAAGTATGCAACAAAAGACCTATAAAGGGGTCTCGCCCTGCTTCCACTACATGGGACTTGCCCTGCATAGGGCGAAGTTGGCGAAGTGTCCTCCACATCAGAACATACATGGGGGTTGGAAACTGTCAGCTAATTCCACTCCCCTCATTGGGTGTCTGGCCATTCCTCCTACATGCCTCTATGCAATCTGAACGAAATCCTACGAGAGCCGAATTCTAGAATTTGACTTAAGGGGTTCGATGTTGCATGGGTTCCAATTAGCATTCTAATTTCAGCCTTTGTTCATCTGCTTTGTTAGACAAGGTTCAAGCATTGAAATTCACGATGTTTCCACGCTTTCCAATCGCGAGCAAAACGGATTTTCCCATCATTGGAAGCACTGTTTCGAGAGCTCTTGTTGTCACTCTGCTCCAAGCCACTTACACTTTGCAATGGAAGAAACGTCGCGTGGGGCCATCGTGCGGGCATGGATGCTTCTGGCCATTTGCACACGCTGGTAACATGGACGTTGCCTGACGGGAATTCGAGGGAGTGCGGGTGTTTTGTGCAAGCCTCAATAAAGCAGTAGCATTGCCATTGGTTTAAGTAAGGTAAGTAAACTTTCAACAGTCGAATCTCATCGTGCTCTCAACACAAGAGGGGCCTTTTAATTTGGTTAGGGTCCGAGCACATTCCCTGAAAATTGCGAGGCCAAGATACGAGTTCGATTAGGATCAGCAGCGAGCTCTCCCACAAGTAGTTGCGCGTGCTCATTAACTTTCCATTGGGATGCTCATGTGCGTTTCGCAAGAGCAAAAAGACCTTGTCGAGTACGGACTTTATTGCCAACTTAATTCGTGCCGACATGGTATGTCGTCATTGGGGCACGGGGAGGAGGTGCCCACAGAATTCAAAACAGAAATACATGGCTGTTGTTGCGATCAATTGGACACTAGTTTAGGGCCCAGGCTGGTTGGCAAACCTGGACACCTCCGGCATTTTTGCTGACCACCATCATGCGCCTTTGAAGCATTGCCCGCGGGGTGGAATCGCAATGGTGGTTCTTCACGTCTGCCTGTAAGTTCCTAAGTCGTCTTTTTGTCGCCCACTACAAAGATGCCTCCTCATCGTGTACAACCTCACACACATCATCGGCACGGTTGAGCAGTCCGTCGAGCAAGTTCTCCCACCAAGCCTCCAGGTGAACATTGCCTGGATGGATATCCTAGGACATCCTAGGACCTGTTGCGCGATCCTTGCAGCCTTATGCCAATTTTTTGCCAGAGTGCAGGTCACGTATTGGGTGTTGGTGGCACTTTGGGTGACGTCCTTTGTGCGTGTGCTAGTGACAAGGCAGGGACGACGATGCTGCACAACTGCCCTCATCAAGCACTTGTTTCTGCCAAAGTGCTGCTTCAAAAGGCCCGGCCAACCTGGTGATGCTGCGGAGGAATACCGATCAAACTCTCGGAATCTCCTTTTCTGCACAGCCTGCAAAGCGCGGCACCTTGTTTGAGAGACAATTGGATGTGGACATTTGGCCAGCGCCCCTGCCGGCAATTGTTGATTAGTTGGCCGAGGAAGCCCCATCGTTGCCGCCACTGCACTAAATGTTCGACCTGCGTGTTGAGAATGGACCATCACTGTCCATGGCTTCGGCAGTGCATAGGCGCGATCACATTTAGCATTTGCCAAGCAATGTCAGCACGCGATGCCAAGTGCTTTGTTTTAGTTGAAGCGATGGCAGAGGATTCGGCAACTACAAGTTCTTCCTCACTTTCATTGTCTACTCTGCAGTCGCGCTGGTGTTTAAAGCTGTGACCATGCTTTTGTTCATGGTCAAGGTCAGACTGGGCAGTTGGTGCCGGAATTCCGAAGTCATACCAGCGTTAGACATGGGCACAGGCCTTCCAGATCGACGTCTCATTTTGCACCCGGCTGTGGTTACTTTCAGCTGAAATTCTGATCATCGCTCTGGGAGGAACCATGTTGGCCTTTTCAGGCCACTTGGCCTTGTCAGGCCACTACTACATGTTCAGTCGACATGCTCAAGACTGCCTGAACATGTTGCCTGAAACCCCTTCTTTGTTTGACACAAGGATTTCACCTTTTCTTGGTGGCACAAGGAATGACAACGATCGAGTACCTGACCAGGACTTTCAAGGCTTCGTGCATGCAAATGACTAGATTGCTGCAACTTTCAGGAACGAGAAGAGTGACAAGAAGCTCGTTTTCGATCAAGGACTGGTAGGAAATGTCCAGGCTGCACTTGGTTCGAATCCGCTGTGTTGGTTCCTTGGCGATGCATGAACAGGCATGTGGCACTTTTCTAAGATGCCCAGTCTTGCAAACCTTGCTGGTGCTGATTCTTGGCTTAGGTTTCTTCCAGCCTGTCCGCCAAGCGGAGATGGCTGCACATTCCCTTATTCCGAGTTGCGCCAAGAGGATGCAAAGCTGTCCCAGGCACGCTGAACAGCCCCGAGTTAGGGTATAATGCCTGGTGCGCCAGACGAAGGCGACCAAATGAAAACCTGGCAGGCAATGAAGCGAGACCTGGCGATGTCTGGCACAGAGGACCTGCATCATAGCCTACAGGCCTCGAAAGTTACCGACCCAGCGTCGCTCTCAGATCATGGAAAAGCCCGACGTAACCTAAAATGACCAAGGCAAGCGGCACTTGCTTATGTTGATTCCACGCAGGTCGCAAGCAACCGGGTGTCGCAGCCGTGCATAGAGAGCACGGCCGAACCCACGTGCATCGAGCAGCAGCAGGATGGATGCGTTGCGGCAGAAACAGCAGGTGAAGACCACCTGGACGACGTGTGAGTTTACATGGGCCTTCTTGCTCAAGCACAGGAGTCCGAAAAAAGTGCGTTTCAACGATCTGCACTGTCGCTGCTGACCTCCTCCCGCTTCCTGTCCTTCACCCTTATAGTCGCCATGTCCATGCGTGGCGTGGCATCCAAAGATGGATGGATGAGAGTCCTGCGTCAGGATGTTGCACAGACTTGTACATGTCAGCTGGATGCTGCTGCATGGTGTTCTGATGGCCTCACAGATTTGTTGTCATTGTATCCCGGCCATTGTCCAGCAACAAACTGTTAATCTTCGTCTGTTCGCTGAGAGTCGAAATGAGTCGAATGTGTTGGCAGGTTGAGTCTTTGGAGGCCAGTACTCGCACGGTGCAAAGCACGCATGATCAGCAGTGTGTACCTCAGATATTCAAAATGAGGCACGAGCACCCCCTCTGGAGATCGCCCCCCTCAGGTACAAACTTCTACTGCAAGGACTGCAGCGCAAGGTGGAGGCTTGCTGCGAGCGGCTTTGTAAAATCCGGGCCGAGCAGTGCCAATTGAGATCAAGTGAGTTGCTTGGCCAGGAAGCCAAGAACTCTTGGTCGGTTGCCTGGTGATGCTTTTTGTAATCATTTGTAATCTGCCGCTGGGTTTCTGACCTTTCGGGTGCATCGTCTACTTGCACCTGCACCTGGAAGCAATATGACACAAGGCACGAGCAACAGCTTCGAATGCAGGTGTCTGCTCAAGAGGACTGGTGACATGTTTTGTTGTCCCGCCAGGAGCTCTTGTTTGTTGTGCCTATGCCTGCTCTTCCTTTGTGTGTGTGTGTGTGTGTGTGCAAAGAGACATGTCGAAAAAAGAAAGAGAGTATCAAAAATCTGAAGCAGGGCCAACGCAGACCCATCCAGCTCTCTCGCGCAAACCTACTTGCAGCCTCACCCCCCTGCGGCCGATTTGCTGAGAAATGCAAGTGCAAGTGCTGAGGGAATGACAAACTTACTAACCTCTTCGGGCGTCGTCACTGTGTGTACACCCGGTTTTCTGTCAAAGTGCCAGTCATGTGGCCTGAAGGCCAGAACCTGAAGTTACGAATCTGTTTGCAAAGAGACATGTCGAAAAAAGAAAGAGAGTATCAAACATCTGAAGCAGGGCCAACGCAGACCCATCCAGCTCTCTCGCGCAAACCTACTTGCAGCCTCACCCCCCTGAGGCCGATTTGCTGAGAAATGCAAGTGCAAGTGCTGAGGGAATGACAAACTTACTAACCTCTTCGGGCGTCGTCACTGTGTGTACACCCGGTTTTCTGTCAAAGTGCCAGTCATGTGGCCTGAAGGCCAGAACCTGAAGTTACGAATCTGTGTGCAAAGAGACATGTCGAAAAAAGAAAGAGAGTATCAAAAATCTGAAGCAGGGCCAACGCAGACCCATCCAGCTCTCTCGCGCAAACCTACTTGCAGCCTCACCCCCCTGCGGCCGATTTGCTGAGAAATGCAAGTGCAAGTGCTGAGGGAATGACAAACTTACTAACCTCTTCGGGCGTCGTCACTGTGTGTACACCCGGTTTTCTGTCAAAGTGCCAGTCATGTGGCCTGTTGGCCAGAACCTGAAGTTACGAATTCGATCCACACAACCTTGACCCAACAACTTGGT